TGGACTCCGGCGGGAACCCCTGATCCAACATGGGCTACCAACCAACCAACCGCGACTTCAATGAGGCCGATAATTTCACAGAGCTTTTTGAGCTCCGAAGAACAAACAAGGATAGGTAGCATATGGGTGCTCCAGACTGACCAAAAATATGTCACAAGACCGCACCTGCGGACTAATAACTGTTCCAGGTGGACAAACAACCGCGTCCAAGTGTGATTGACAGTCGATTCGAGCCTTTTACGCTTCAGGCCAACGCTGGTGAGTAGAGGTTTGTCTTGAGACAAAGAGAACCAGATTGTAATCTTGCAAATGCACAAACTTATGAGAACCCGAGTGTGAGAGAACGGTGAACGAAAACGTGCAGTTGTGATAAGAAACTAAATGAGGAACAGTTACTATAACAGCACCTTTGTTCACGCCTCGATGCCTTGTTAAACGATCTGAAGTTATGTGCTGAAAACATGCTTAAACTACGCCATCAATATTTGCAGCAGGAACCGAGACAATTTTTGACAAGCCTATTAAGGCAAAACAATTGCAAATGTTCATTTGAAAAAAAAGTTCTTCGGGAAATTTGGAAATGAAAAACTAGGAGCTCGGCTTCAGAACTTACTTTGATGACAATGTTCGGGAAATCGAGCAAGTGGACCTCCAGCGGATCCAACATACCCTTTCGGGTAACAATGATCTGCTTTGGCTGTTCTTCCACAGGCAGTGAACGAATGAGAGCAGCTACCTCCTCAGCAGTTTTCCACTTTGCCAGTTGACCCAAACGCTTCTGGCCAGCCCAAACAGAGGTGTGGATAATCTTCAGGAACAATTGACCCGTACGCGGGTTGAAGATGAAGATAGCGCCGTTGATAGGTTTGGTTGTGAGATTGCCCTCAAAGGTCTAGCATGTAGAAAAGACATTGTCAGTCTAGAGGGTTAGACTTGAAAGGTAGTCAAAATTTCCGAGACCCCACATGTCGAGGTACTTTAGTACCCAGCCCTAAAACCAGTGGTTTTAAATAAAGTACGGGATCCCTATTGGCAAAAATCTCGCGCTATAGTAACACACAATAAGAAGCGGTACCGTCAAGGAATCGCACCTTATGAATGGTCACACGATAGACGTTGGTATCATCCACAAACCAGATGATTTGATTGGAGAAGAGTTCGTTGTAGTTCTGTGAACTTAAATAGGGTTCGGTGGGTTCGCTGGAGTACAACTGGAGAGCCTTTCGAATGCGCTCACGCAGGACATAGAGTGCGGGGTTGGCTTTCATGATCTTCACCATAGCTTGTTGAATCAGGGGCTTGCAACCAGGGAACCAATTACCGTAGGCGCTAAAAGAATAAACAAAATAAAGAATTCATGCCATAGAAAGGTAAGCGGTCGACTGATGAGAACTGCATAAATATGCACAAAAGATCCCAAATAACTGGCTTTTACTTCAAGAAAGTAAACAAATGCCTCCAATAATTCGTAAAGCACGGAGCCATAAAACTAAAACAGCAACACAACCGCAACAACCAACAGCGTACGCCATCATTTCCAAAAGGTTTTAAGTTAAGTGTAAGATGGAATTTAACTAGAAAGTGATGGTTAGCACTCACCTGTGCAAATTGTAGGCAAGATCGATGGCAATCATAACGCCAGTTGGAGATGGGTAAATGGACATGTTATCAGTTGTATAATCCAGGAACTTGGCTCGACAATATCTTTCGATATCGTGAGAATCGAAGTCACCCCATCGCAGTTGCACATCAATCCAGAACTTCTGTGTTGTTGTACCATCCATGACATCCCTAAAGAAATAAGACTGTAGGTTAGCTCAAACTGATGTCGAAAAGAATACTGATCACCCCAATCAGAAGTGGCTTACAAAACCAACTTGCGCCACAGTCTCGATAACATTTCGAGGCCTGTTTAGCAAACGTGTAGAAGGATTTAATGTCTGCATCAACCCTTATAATTATACATGACTAGAGAGGTGCTGAAGACTCAGGTAATCATCTAGACTGAAATCTAACGAAAACCATAAGAAACCGCGCAATAGGTATACGTTAGAAGCGGTGACACTGAAACGGCACAGGCGATCCGCACGAACAGGAAAGTTTGCTGTTGTGTTTTACAGTCCACCCGTCCTAACCAACGATGGTTGCCTTTTCTTGGGCAGACAGGGATGATGGCCGGAAATGATTTGAGACAATGGCTGAGTAGGTATCAGTCCCAGCCCACACGTTGGTTCTCAAAAGAAACAAACTACAATTCGGCTTTTAAGATGCCCCATTGGTAATATCTGTCAAAGGGTCAAATTTGGAAGGCTACTAAAACCTCCCATTCATGTCAGAGAATCGAGTTATCTGGTTAATTGATAAACTTCCTTGTCACGGCTTTCAGGACGTTATGACAGTTCAGATTAACCTCAAATGTATTACAGTGGTGGAGAGAGTTTATGTAGGATCGTTCTTCTTCCTTATTCCATTGCATATTCACACTAAAAGTCAGTCAAACTCAGAGAAGACAAAGTGGGATGCCGTGGCCATCGTTCTTTGAGTGTCACATGATTTACACAAGGATGACGCTTGCTTTTGTGAACCATGCTGTACAGGCGGTCTATACGTGCCGTGTTTCAGATAGGCATCGACTGAAATTTTAACACAAAAATCTAAAAACTGTGCACATAGAGCCTACTTAATCACGAAGGCGGTTCAGTGTAAAGAAATGTTGGAGAATGGAGAATGTACACTCACTTTGAATCGGCGAGAAGGCTAGGACGAGATACCGGCCATTTGTATGAGGCGAAAAGCAGGATATCGGCACAGCTAGAGTTCATCTTGTAGGACTTGCGAGGATGAATAGTCTCCTTCTGCACGGTTTCAATTTCTAGCGCGTCCAGTTCCTGATCGAAAACCTGACACAAATCCATAACCACAGACTCGTGGATTTTCTGCCACAAGTGAGCACGGAAAATCTGGATAAGGGAGATTTTCAAGGTGGGGATTTTGCCATGCATGAAGATGCCTGTGAGATCCAACTGCACCTGGAAACCGACGTACACCTGGAGATGCAAAACAAGGGGGAAATTGCGTTAAAAATGGTGCGCAGCGAGAAACATGGTGAGTTGAACTGAGGAAAACCTCGACGTTCGGTTGCAAAACCGCAAAAACTTGTGGCATGCAAGCTTGAGAGGGGTGGTGCCTACGAACGGTAAGCTACGTACTTGCTGTTTGCCAATTATGTCAAGTGAAAGTGGGCTTAAGAAACTATGCTCAAAGAGCTAGGCTTACGTTGGCACGATTTATGGTAGGCGACCACCAGAGGGTGAACCGACGGTTAGGAATTTGATTAAGACCGGATCGTTGAGCATTGGTCAGCTTCTTGTACTTCATGGATTCTTCAAAACCGCTGGCTTTTTCCCTAAAAGAGGAGACGCAAAAAACGATCTTTACCAAAAGAAATGTAGGAAACTCGGTTGATTTCTAACGCAAAATGAGAGGATGTTTGGAAAAGGGAGAAGCGGAGTGACATTGACACGCCAGGGTAGAGGCGCGCGTTTGGTGACGTACAAGTGGAAGGTGTAATCCCAAGGACATAGGACTGTCTCCGAAACATCAATAATGCAAAACGGTGCATAAGGAGTTTCAGGCCGAGAACAAATTATTAGCCATCATCTTTTCGCCTAATTGACTTT